GTTGAGCGTCTATTGTGGGTGAACCCAGTAGTGGGAGCTTGATTGCCGAAGAGGAATTAAGAAAACTTTTTAAAAAATGTCGAGTTTCTGCTATGAGTAAACTTATGGTGGAAGCTCACTTGCCGAAATAGAAATAAGTAACAAAATCCTCAGAAGCATTGTGAGCGGCTGCCGTAGTTGATTCATGTGGCGGGGGCTCAATAAGATTGCGTTAAATTGGTTCGAATCCTTTCTTACTGGTCGGACTCAACAGATTTTTTACTAAGGTAATCTCTCGGAACCAATGAAACTTACGTCAGGGGTGCCTCAAGGATCTGTCCTTGGACCGATTCTTTTAATTTGTACGTTGCAGAGATACTGAATTTACTGAATAAAGGTGGCTATTTTTGCCATGGGCACGCAGATGAAATGCAGATTTGTGTTTCATGTTTTCCAGATGAGATGCCTACCGTATTAAAGAAACTGACAAAAGCTATATTTAATGCAAGCTCGTGGCTGGGTCAATGTTGGCTAAAGTTGAATCAGACTAAGACTCAGTTTATGTTGGCTGGTACATGGCAACAAACGTCAGCGGTTGAATCTTCATCGATTAACAACAGTATGACTCATATAAGTTTCAGTATAACAGTCATCAATTTGGGAATTGTGATGAACTCTCGTATGACAATGGGTCCACAAGTCAATCTTTTAGTTAAAAAATGTTTGTTCCAACTACGTCAGTATTGTCAAGTCACAAAATCGGTAGATAGAGATACAATGACATTATTAGTACATGATTTCGTGAATTCTAGATTGGATTATTGTAACAGTCTTCTATATCGTATAGCTGATAAACTGTTGTCTAAATTTTAAATGGTTCAGAATCAGGCTGCTAGAATGATACACCACAAATTAAAATTTTGATCGTGCATCACCAATTCTAAAAGAGTTGCATTTGCTGCGTGTTAAACAAAGAATCATGTTCAAGTTTGGTGTAATGGTATTTAAAAGTTTGAATGGTCTGGCTTTAAAATATTTAGAAGATAAATGTATTAGAATTTTATCTATATCATTACATAGGCGTCTAAAGTCTGCTGATTCAAACAAGCTGTATGTAAGAGATCGGATTCTGAAAACAGCAAATAGAGATTTTGCAGTTCTTGGGCCTGTTTTTTGGAACCGCCTACCTATCGAATTACGTATACCTGGGTTATCATTAACTGAGTTTAGAAAACGTCTGAAGACATACCTATCTGGTAACTCCTAGATCACCACCGATAATGGCTTTGCATTCAACATGTTTATACGAGGAGAGCACTTATGAGAAGCAATTATAATTGGCGCTATATAGATACAAAATTTGATTATATATATATGCGGTTTGTAGATTTGTCTGTGAAGTTAGACGCAGATGCGGATTCAAATGCGTTATTCAATAAACGCAAAATTAAATTTTTAAATTTCAAAATTTTTCAGAATAAAAAATTTAGTTTTTTTCGCTTGTTTGCATATATGTACGTTTGTGAGTATGTTTGTGTTTTTAATGACCATAAATGAGTCTCTCTGGAGTCCACGTTGATAAAGCCAAGCAAGCAGCTTCCACAAATTACTTCAGGAGATTTGAATAAAAAAAGTTAGTTCAATGTACACACGTCCATACATACACACATACATACATACATGTCTATATGTGTGTGCTGTGCATATGTGCGTTAAAGTGTTATAAAAAACGCATGTGTGAAGTGTATCTATCTTTGATACTTAACACAAGTGTTATTATCACCGTATATACACATAACACATATACGATAAACACTTACGTATATACAAATAAACATACATATATATGTAATATATTTGGAATGACCAACATAAATATATATATATATATATATATATATTGAAACTGCACTCATTGATATTTTCTCCCAGTTGTTCTCTTCAGTTGACAGTCAATGCGTTTCTTTCTTGGCATTACTTGATATGAGTGCTGCATTTGATTGTGTCGGTCATACTCGTCTCATGTATAAACTCTCCACAAATTTTGTTCTCTCTGATTCAGTCTTATCGTGGTTCGCTTTCTATCTTTTAGGCCTTACCCAGCAGGTTTCTTACAACAACACCCTCTCTTGACATAAACAAACTATCGTTTGGTGTCCCCAGAAATCTGTGTTGGGACCTCTGTTGTTTCTTATGTACACTGCTGATGTTTTTGATATCATTCAAAAATATGAGTTCAGCTACCATGTCTTTGCTGATGATATTCAGTTATTGGTATCTTGTCCTGTTGATTCGATTGACGCTACTCTGAATAAACTGATTGATTGTCTTATCGAAATTAGATCTTGGATGAGTATGAATCAGTTAAAGTTAAGTCAATCTAAGACACAAATATTACCGGTTGGTTCATGGCAGCAGCTGTCAAAGGTCAAAATTTCATCGATCAGTGTCGGCAATGACATCATTGAATTTTCCACATCTGTCCGTAGAGTTATTATTGACTCAAACCTAAAGATAGATTTACATATTAATAATTTAGTGAGGGTCTGCTTCAACTAACTCCGCAATGTCAAAAAATCACTAAACACGTCTGTTCTTCAAAGTTTGATTTCCTCTTTCGTTTTTTCCAAACTGGACTATTGCAATGGTCTTTTTTATGGTGTCACTAAAAAAATGTTTTCAAAGCGTCAGTCAATACAGAATCGTGCGGCTAAGCTAGTTTTGGGTGGTTCGTGGTCTGATCATGTTACACCTATTTTGAATAGGTTGCACTGGTTGAGGGTTGAGAAACGTGTATCCTTCAAGTTAGCAGTTTTGATGTTTAAATGTGTCAATAATGCAGCACCTCCCAATCTCATTGATAGATTGGAATCATACAAACCTCATTTTTCAAAATATTCCTTCCGATCAACCGAGCGCAATTTATTTTTTATCTCGACTAAAAAGTTAGCGACGGGTTTCCGTCTTATTTGTCTATGATTTAGTAGCGCTTTTTTAGCTAGTGATTTTGAGATTCAACAATTAAAAAGCGCTGTATATAATTTTCCGTAATTAATAATATATATATATATATAATATGAGTATATATATATAACATGAGTATATATATATATATATATATATATATATATATATATATATCCTAGTAAAAAACCATAGTTAATGCAGTAATTTTTGAAATCTATTGAATTTCTAGCGTTGGATAGTTTTTGATTACATTTCTCAATATTTCGAACCAAATTCTTGTCGTCATTATTTATTTTATTAACGATAGAATATGCTTTTCCAATTCATTCTCGAGTGTGTAGGATCTTTTTCCATTTTTCAATCATCTTCAGCACTTGTTGCAGTTTATATTGAGAATTTGTATAACCCAGAACATGTTGCAATTTATAATGGAAAATGCCTTTGTTCCTGTGATTTGCATTTATCATTAATAACAATAAAATGATTGAAAAATCCTATACACTCGAGAATAAATAGAAAAACTGTCTAACATTTTATCTATTAAATGCATTATTTACAATATAACCAAATAGCAACAAATATCAAAAGTCTTGTAAAAATGGATTGGGCGAACATTTTTCTGGCGAACGTTCCATTTATCGGGCAAAAACTTTATTTGGCAAATCTTCCATCGTTCGGGCGATTCATCATTCGGGCGAAAAATGTATCGAGTCAAAAACGTGTCATCATAAAATAAGTTTAAGAAAAGGTAAAACTGTTCAACAAGTACAGAAACGTTATGTTAACGCTTTGACATAGATCAAACGTTTATTTTTATTTTGGAAACTATTTTTACCTCTAACGTAATTTTGCTACTATTAATTTGACTACACTGTTATATTTTTATCAATCAGAATGCTTTATTTCATTATTTCAACTGTTTTATATCCCTCTGCGTTTTTATTTTGGAAGCTCACAAATTTACCTTGTCAGCACACACTTTTATTTATTTGAATTTAATTTTTTTTATTTGATGCCTTTCTTATAAATGATTATGATATTAATTTAATTATTTATATAACGAAAATTTGGGCTCCAACATTTAAAAAAAATTAGACTAAGTCAAAAATAAATTTTAATATTTAATAACAACTTTAGTTTTACAAATTTTTTATAGCAATATAATCAGCAACTTCAATTTTTTCTACATTTTGAATTTTATCAGTTTTACAAATAAACTAGCCATCTCGCCACGCGTTGCTGCTGTATAAGAGAATATAAAATTCAGTAAACACTTTATGGAAAAAATCATATTGCATTGCTATTAATATAACTGAAATGAATTTAAGGCTTTGAGACATCGAGAGGGATGCTGTTGTGGATATCGAGAAAATAAAAAAATTCTTTGTTTACCGCTCAGCGTACTTTGTAACGCAAATTTTTTCAGAAACATATATGACGTTGATTTTTGTTTCCAAGACCGATACACCGATATAACGTTATTAAAATTTCAAGTTCCATTCTCAACCGAAACCCAGTTGGATTTAATGCCGAATTAATAAAATAATTTCTAACTACCGATTGTCGTTTAAAATGTCGTTGTTTTGATATGCCTGTTTCACTAACTGTTTTCAATGTATGGAAACGTACTAATATTGATTAAATAATACAATTTTTTCTCCTTAAACATTTCTCAAGTGTACATAATAACTTCCCTAAGTACCATTCCGATCGGATAGACGGTGTAATATAACATTAAGGTCATACTGACAGACAGAGAGACGCACATACATATAAATGTATATATATACATTTTTTAAAAAGGCTTATAATTTACTTTGACACAATTTTGAAAATTGGTTGATAAAAAAAATTTAATTGTTTTTAATAAAAAAAAATTCATGCTTAATGAAACTAATTAAACAGAAATACAAATAACATGAAATGTTTAAAAACAAAAATTATCCAAGTTTGACTTGTAATCATACTGTTGCATCGACTGATAATAAATTTGAAACCGAGTGAAATACGCTGAAATAAAAATTGAAAGCTTCATGTGTTTGATATTCCGTAAGGTTGTTTTGAACAGAGATAATGAAAAAAAACTGCTGGCACTGAAAAGTATGGCCAAGTGTCACATCGTTGAAACGTCACAGCAAGAACATGTCATGAACGAGAAACAAATTTTATCTGAAATTAATAACAGCTTCGTCATCAGGTTTTTTATATTTGCACACAGATTTATTTGTTTGCATTTTTTACCTGTTTAATTACTTTTTTTGATTGTTATTATTATTATTATATTTATTATTATTTTTATCAATATTATCATTGAAACTTAAACTGATTGCAAACAAAATGCAGATTGTATAAAACCTTCAAAGACCGAAAGTATTTGTACCTGCTGTTGGAGTTGGGCGAGGGGGGTGAGCTCTGGTCTCTGCTCAGGGAGAGGTCTAGCAACTTGTTTTACTTTTTCAGAAAAATAATTATTGCGTTATAACTATCTTGACAAGTTCAGTTACTATTTGTAAATTGCTATAATTTACCAAAAATTTTAGTATATTGTTATCATTATTATAATTATTTATTATATTCCTTCTGCGTTTATTAGAGATGCATCGAATAGTAAATTTGCCCGAAGGTTGAATGGCCAAATAGTTAATGCACCATACAAATAGTTAATACACCATACAAATGGTTGATGCACCATACAAATGGTTGATGCACCATACAAATGGTTAACGCACTATACAAATAATTGATGCACCATTTTTTTAAAGTCGGAGAACTTTGAAAAAAAAAAATTTTAATGAAGAACAAGTTACCGAAAAAAACAGCAAATCGTGTTTCTATCTAACAATTCTTTATCAGAATTACGTTCAATCTATTGTTCAAATTCAGCTGTAATGGCCAAAATAAATTTTTCGCTTTTAATATTCAATAATTATTGTCCTGGAATCCAAAAAAGTGATGGTTTATACAAAAAATTTTCAACATTCGGCTATTCGACCCTAAAATGGCCAGGCCGAAGGTTCGGTGAGTCTCAAGTATTTATATAAGGTGTACTGTTTATTTATTTATTTATTGTTTGTTATAGTTATTTTTGTTTTTGTTGGAATTGTTGTTATTGAATTTATTTTAAATTATTTTTTTAATTAATTAACTTTAAAATTAATTAATTTGTTAAGATTGATTGCAAAGTACATAAATATTAAAATTGTTGAGGTGGAACGCATTTGTTTTAGTTCAACAATTTTTTATAACCGGAGTCCTCTATTTTACGATATCATTAAATTTATTTTTTTTTATATTCATTAGTGGTTCGTTCAAATTTGTTTGTAAAACACAAACGAAGACAAGATTAAATTAATATTAATTTCTCACACACCTGAAACAAGAGTAAGTAGAAAAGTTGATAAAGAAAGATAGGAATGGTTGTGATACAAACTTTTACAATGTAAATTGCCATGCTATTTTTGTTATTTCCGTGGCAATAACTGCAAAACTTGCCTGAGATGCGTGTGTGTTCAGCGTCGGCACACTGGTAAATGTCCGTTTTATGTTTAAATAAGAAAAATGTTTCAAAACCACAATTGCGACTAACGTGATTGGAGTTTTCGGCTCCGAAACGGACAAACAAAATGCAGTGCAGAAACGTTGTTGAAGCTGATTTAAATACGTCTGACAGCAGCCAAATAAAAACGTTCATAAACAAGTAGACGTATAAATGCGATGATATGGTTGAAGCGCTGAAATGCTGACCGATTGGGTGGTGTGATGGCCTAGTGGTTAAAGGAACCTCGTCCCGGTTCGCAGTGCGAGCAATCACCGGGTTCAAATATAAGAAAAGGATTTCCACCTATTAAAGGCTTTGTGTGTGATGCGTTGTCAAGCAAGATTTCATATACGCTGTTTGTGTGTTGTTAATTTGGCAAATATTATAATTATTCAACACCCTACGATCTGTCATCGTCACCTTTTAAAAGAAAAAATTAAAATTTAGAACCAACCATATACCACGAAACCACAAAGTAAGTGAGCGAAATATTCCAATGGCCTACAACATTGTTTGTATGACAATTATAACTGTGCGTAAGCACTTTTGAAACAACATCTACTGATTAAAATAACAATATTGATCTGTCTTTTTTTAAAGTTTTATGGCCAACTTTTCTTAATGAATACTTGATTAGCATTTTTATAAAGTCATCGTACAGTATTTTTCATGACATGAACATGATATGATGCTAAGTTAAATATATTTCACCGCTCTGCACCTACCTCCATAATGACTTTAAAGTTTATAACTTCAACATTTATTGTTTTGTTCAATTATTAAAAACTTTTAAAACTTATAAAACTTGTAATATAACTTGTAAAGTTAAATGTCAAAAAAAAGGAATAATAATAATTAGTATTATTATTTCTTTAGTCTTTATTATTGCAGCTCTGATATACGCAGAACCACTAACAATGAATGTTAGGGAGATACATTATCTGTATATCTTTTATTATGTTCTTCATATTTTCAGCCATTGATTTGAAGCAGCTATCTTCGCCACAAAGGCTGTTTATCCTTTTCACACGACGTACGCATGTATTTTTATGTGTACACGCAAGCACCGCATCATATACGCTGAGTATATGATAGCCATTGAGATGTTTGACTCAGCGAGCATTCGAACCATTGAGTCATCTCGCCGGCCAGCATGCAACAACTTACGTCGTTTACCCATTTACCAACCGCGAAAGGATTGACGGCTGAGTTGGCCGGGAGTCGGTTACCCGGATGAACCTGTAGAAGCTGCAGGATTCGAATCCGGGTCGTGGGAGTGGTAGACGGACACGCTAACCACTCGGCCACGAGATCCCCCTTATCTTTATTGCTGTTGTTATTATTATTATTTATTATTCTGTTGTTGAAATTGTCATTACTAGCGTTAAGATTATTGGTATTGTAACTGTCGCTAGTTGTAATATTATTTCTTAAGAATCAGTTTTCAAGTGATAAATATGGTTGTGTCGCCGATTTTAATTTGTTATAGCAGTTTTTCATTATGAACTTTACGATTCTGGGAAATTCTACGTCTCTTTTGTTAAGATTAGATAAATGGGTGAATGTTTTAATACTGTTATGTTTTTGTGTTGTTTAGCTCTTCTAGAGAACTGAAAAGTTATAAGTTTACAAACACCGGTGACATCTGAAGTCGTTAACCGTGCTGTTAGACTTCAAGTCATACTTTTTGTTTACCATATAAACTCATTATTTAAATGGTACAACAATATTCTCAAATGATGTGTTGCTTGATTGTTTAACCATCCGTTCTTGAAACTTTTAACTGATCCTCATCTCATCTAGTTGCAGAAGTCGAAAAAAATTTCTAAATTTGATAATTCAGAAAAATGTATTACCAGACTGAATTAATAACACATTTTTCTAACAACGAATCAAATATTGAATACTTTCAAAAATAAAAAAAATTAGACACACGTGTTTTTTTAAATGTTCATTCAATAATTTCAAAAATAAAAAGTATTAAACTAGACATGTTTTGTTTTAATATTAAAAATTGTTCATTTAATAACAATTGATTATTTAATTTTTTTGACTAATTTAACTTTCAGTTTTTCGTTCGTTTATTTTAGTAAGAAAACTTTTTCATAAACAAACACAGATTGGCATTCGACTCCAACGCTACCCGATTTTACAGTGGCTGTGTCATTGAGGCACTGGATTATCTACATTCAAGGCACATCATATTCAGAGATATCAAACCGGAAAATCTCGTGCTTAATCATCTTGGCTATGTTAAATTGGTAACTTTATGTACTGCAAAATTATTACACTATTTTATGATCTTTTTACAAATTTGTCATGTACGGTTTTATGTCAATGAAAAATTGGTTTTGTAAATTTTTAAAGGTTGATTTTGGATTTGCCAAGCGCATCGGAGTTGGTCAAAAAACGTTTACGTTTTGTGGTACGCCAGAGTACGTTTCACCAGAAGTCATTTTGAATAAAGGACATGATTATGCTACAGATATCTGGTCTTTGGGCATACTCATTTATGAGTTGCATATCGGCAGGTAATGTAACACCAATTAGATTTTCGTGATTAACAATTGCACTAGTCCTTAAATCGTGATGATAATTTTTATAAAGTCCTCCTTTCAACGGCTCAGACCATATGAAAACGTACAAAAAGGTTTTGAAGGGCATTGATTCCGTCGAGTTTCCAAAATTGTTCAACAAGTTATCCCAACAGTTGGTGAGGCAGCTCTGCAAGTGAGTAATAACTGATTAACAAACGGAAAAAATTTGCACCAGATTTAGTTTTACATTTATTTTTACACTTGTGTCAAATTTTGAGTTGAATATAAATGTTTTTAAACTGTCATTTTGAAAAAATAATTAATAAATGTTTGTATAAAACTTAATAAAAAAAATTGTGCAATAGTTACCAAACTATTTAACAGGACGAATCCAAACGATCGACTCGGCTACAGCGTCAATGGTATGAAAGCCATCAGGAAACACAAATGGTTTGATGGCTTCAACTGGGATGGTCTAAGAAGCATGTCCATCAAAGCTCCTCACTCAGTTAAGGTTGAAAAACATTTTTAATTAAACGTCAATTGTATATCAATCATTTTCGAAACAGTTTCACTTGAAACCACTTTTTTGAATAAAACCACCAATTAAATATTTTGGCCGAATAAAAATTAACGTAACCGGCATGAAATTGAAGACAAAAATTGTCCTTACAAATATTTCTATGTTTGAACGACCGAACCGAACCGATAGTGTCAGGAAGGTGTCCGACTGTTGAGAACTGTTACAACTGCACAAGAAATAAAATCGTCGTGATAAAATTATCTTAAGAAACAAGATTGTAACCCATTCTTCATTTTAAAGTCTAGTTGGCGATTCAAAACCATAAAATTAAAAACATCGGTTGCAATGTTATTAAAACAAAACAGCTTTCTCGTAGCTGTTAGTTTTGGATTATTTGCCATATGGTTTAATACAGACACGATAGCATTATAAAAATATTATAATTGAATGAAATTGTTAAAACAAAACATGAAACTGAATAAATATTGTTCCATATCTATTAAGCTAATACTGAAAAGTTGATTTCCAAGTCAACATTTTTAAAACATATAAATTTCGGCGTGGTTTTCTGCTGAGAAACAATAGCTTGAAAATTTTTCTCAGAATAATCCTACGCATAGATGATAGAGTTGATAAATTAAATGACTGAAACCAAAAAGGTGATGAACGAATCGGACCTGCCCAACTTGGAATACGTGACAGACGAACCAACCCAGCAGGCGGCCGATGATGACACTGGCTGGGATGTAGATTTTTAAAGCATCGAAATTAGAAATTTCCTTGATGAAGAACAAATGTATTGGAGGACTTTTTAAAATTATTTTATCTTGAAAATTTAGTAAACTTGATCATTTATCAAAATCTTATTTTGAAATGATGTTTCAATTATGTTTCTTCTCTTTTTTGCTGCAAATAATAAATTATAATGACATGGAAGTACTGAAATGAAGAACGACAGTAGTTGTGCAAATATTGTCATATGACATCCATATCATCTTACTGCTACGTATCACCCAATATCATCTTATTGTCATATCACCCAATATAAATTTTATTTAAAAATAAAATGTACTCAGTTCTGTTCAAATATTTGTTATGAGAGTCATTAAACAAGAGAAGATTTTAATAAGTTTTTATCCAAGAAGTACAAAATTTATAAAACTTATTTAATTATAACTTCATAAAATTTTTGACAGGAAGATTCTTGTGCGCAGATTAATATTAAAATACCTCAAACGACTTTTTGAAAATTCCGTTTATAAAATTGTGTGAAATAGAAAAATTACAAAATGAGAAATTTGTTAAAACCGCCAATAGTAGATGTCGTTTAATTTTTCTGTTGGATCTACACCAAATTATTTCCAACTTGCGTCTGCTTTCCAGCTTTCAAGTAACTAATTAGTATTTTTTGAAATGTGTTGGAGTGACAGAAAATCCAAAAATATTTATGAAAGTAACACAAATTAAAAATTGTTTATATTTGAGGACCAACCTTCATTTAAGTTTAAGGTTTCATGTAAAGTGCAAAATATAAGGTAAGGTACAACTTCCATCATTTTAAAATCAGTTTTTCATTCTTTTTGTTCCATTAATAATTGATATTGACAATTTCCATTTAAAAAAATGTTACTATGTTTTCAATTTAAGAATAAGTTTGCTATGTAGGATAAAATCTTTTCAACAAAAAGCCATTCGATATCCAAATTTGAAACCCCATCAATCAATCAATAAATAAATAAGTAAATCAGTCAATCAACCAATTAATCTACTTGTTTCTAAAGCACCCTTTCGCGATGTTCAACAGCGCTCCTCAATGAGTTTTGCAAACGGATGGGTCTTGAGATCCGCTCTGAATTTTGTAAGTAATGGAAAAATAGTTAGAGAAAGAGGTAGAGAGTTTCAGAAGAAGCAATAGAAAATTGCGCGTAAGAGTGTTTAACAGGAGTTAAGAAAAAGTGAAAACGAAAAGACGGTCGTGAACCGGGGCATTTATGAGTAATTAGCATATCTATTTAGTACTTGAGAAATAAATTAGACTTGTACATTATTGGGCAGATTTTAAAATTACTCTCTATTTTATAAGCAGCTAGTTGCTCAGTGTAAGAGAATGAGATATGGGGATATGAGAAAAGATAGGGGCACGAGTAATTAGACGAGCACCAACTTTGCTTCATCGAAAAAGTGTCGATGAAGATGCTCAACAGAAAATGGGTCATAGTATTAAATCAAACTTGATTATCTGAAAAACTCACTTCCAGACACTGGTAGCTTTGGGAGAAGAGATAACCAACATATATTAATAAATCAAAATCTTATTGACAAAACCTTCGTTGACACACTATATATATTGTTTTCAAATGTTGTTTTGACGTTTATTTATTTTTTTCGTGATTTTGTATCATATTCAAAGGCTGTAGCTATTAAGTTTATTTATTACAAAGAGATTTATTTTAATTTTGTTTGTTGCGTTTTCATTATGCAAGATTGTTGATTTTGCTCCACGCACTTCGATATTTGCCCCATCTGAACAAATGTCATCATGATCTTCATATAAATATGTTTTACAATTATAAAAAAATATTAATTGTTGATTAATTTTATATAATGAAAAAGGTTTTGTGACTGAACTACACGTACACAGTTCAGCCGCTTACCAAATTTTAAATACAATTATTTTACTTACAATTATTTAATTATTTAATTTGAGGAAAAATTAATTTACATCAAATTGAAAAAAACTTTTTTTAAACGCAACATCTATTAGTGATGTAAAATGTAAGAATAATTTTTTACAGAAAATTGAAATTGAAAAAAGAATTTAAATAATTTCCAACGAATTAATATATTCAAAAATGATAATTGTAAAGTAAAAACATCTCAAAATAATGAATTAACTGGCTTTTATAAGAAACTGCAAAAATTGTTTGACCAACAAATTTGTCATC